TTAGGTTACGTGCATGACTTTAAAAAAATCAGCCCTTGGTATTATATGGGCAAGTGTGTGTGGAAAGACAGCTTGTCAGGTACACTGCCACGGCTGCAGTGTGTGAGTGCGTAGTGTGTATGTGTGTTCCCCGAGCAAAAGAACTCTCTCTGGGCTCGCTTACGTTTCTGGATAAAGGGAACAAGTTACACGCTGTTTTACAAGAGGGGAGATAAATCTGACTGGCGTGTCAAATATCAGGAGTCATAACAGCCAACCGCAGATCCAGCCAGATCCTTGTCGCGTTGGACGACTGAAAACTCAAAACAATCACAAGAAGCGCATACACACACTCGCACGGCTGGCTCAGGGACAAGAAGCCAATCGACAGTTGGCTCTTCAGCTGCAGGAGAATTGTAAATTACATATTCATGGAGCCATTTTTGATCAGTTAACTTAAGCTGCCTTTTTCAGATCTGTGGTCTTCGATAGGCTTTTAGGATGTGATGTAACAGAAATGTATGATTGCATAGAAAACTTTGTGTCACATTAGCTGCCTATTTAAATGAAAAGAAAATCACACAACTAAAAGCTGAGTCAGACACTTATTTTTTTATGAACAATAACAATGTTTCTGGGTTAAACCTACACCAAGTCTGGGTTGTATCTGTACTATCGAACAAAACGTTTTGATGTGGCTCAACAGTTTTCCACTTCCACTTTCAAACACCACATTTACATAATTATTGATGAAAGTGTTTCCAGATGAAGAAGAGACGGTATTTTCATGGGGAAGTCCACATCAGTTGATTTTATTCCCTTCCTAAAGTTAATTGCTTATGTCCATCAGCAACTCAATAGCTTGGATCAAATGGGCTGAGTGGGCTCATTGCAACAATTGCAAAAAAAAACGTACTAAAGTTTAAGAAAAAAAAGGGCACTGTTATTTTTCATTGTTTAATTCCTTTTATTGTTAAGTTTTAGATGTAAAAATAATCATTTTCTTAAATTCAGAAAAATATACAGGTTTAAGTTAGAGTGAAAATCTTATGAACCTATCAGAATCCAGTTCCTGGAATTAGTTTGTTCTTTGTTTTCACGGTTACCACGGCAACAAGAACCACCAATGGTCTACACTGGTCTATTCCTAACAGGATTGAGGGGGCTCGTCTTGACGTTGGGCAATAGGCGGGGGATGCCCTGTACAGGTCACCAGTCTATCACATAAAAAAACAACCACAAATGCACTCCTAAGGGCCGTTTAGAGGCTCTAATTAACCTTACATACATGTTTTTGGACCGTGGGAGGAAGCTGGAGTACCCGGAGAGCATTCACACATTGCTACACAGGAAGAACATGCAACCAAACAGAAAAGTCTCGATGCCATGGTGTATTGAACCAAGAACCCCTGTTCTGTGAGGGGACAGTGCTAACCATCACACCATAAAACATCCCAAATTCCAATATTACAACTGTTAATGGTTCATATTTCTTAAGCATTAGAACATTTTTATTTTTGAAAAATATCAAATCCCTTGCTCATGTTTTAGATGATTCAAAAATCGCCTTATTTCTTGAAAATATTCTTAATCTATTATTAAGTGACTCAAAAGACGGCCTTCTGATTTAAAGGTCACTGAAACAAAGAATTTATTAATTTAATCTAATGTACTGAATTTAGTTATTGAAATATTAATCAAACTCATTAAGTCTACAGTTGCACATGTTAATATTAATTCCTTGCTAACCTAAATGTTCTTCTTGATGGTCTTTAGCTGATCTGTGGTGCATGGTTAAATCATTTAGCAACCATTATCAATTTAAAGAACTAGGAGCAACATTTCTTTTAAGGTTTTGCATTTCCCAGTTGACAAAAATGCTAACCAATTAAAGCAGTTTTATCAGGTAGATTTACTCTATGATGCAGAATCCTCTGAGATATAACTTTTCTGAGTTTTTCTTTTTCAATCTGCTCTCCCACTGAGGAATAGAGTCTGAGAGGAAGGATTTTCAGGGGCCGCCTGTCCTCCCAGCAGTAGGTTGATTGGAAGGGCTGGCTGTGTTTGTTAAGGTAATGGGACTTAGGTGAGTTTATTCACAGGGTACATGCTGTATGCCGTCACCTCAGGAGCACACCAACAGGGAAAAAAAGAAGTGGGGGCTGAAACTTCGGGGGATTGGGTGAGTTGAGGTGGTTGTCCAGCTTTCCCCTAAAATCCCCTCGGCCGTGCTCCGTCTCCTCCAACTCCACCTGAAAGTGATTATCAGGCCAGCCATGAGCAAACAAGCCCCATATGGAGAGCCTATAGTGAGGCCAGGGCTGGAGCCCGGGCAGCCCTCCTCCACCTCTTTGGAGAGAAGAGGCCTGAGCAAACATCGCTAATAAAGTCTTAACAAGCAGCCCCGGGTTAGCGTGAGCCCGCTAAATGCCACCGAGGCTCTTGGAATTGTGTCCGGCAGATTGGCTAAATCTCCTTGAAGCTTTCCTTTACAAGATAAAGTTGCATTAGCATATCTCTGTCTCGCCATCTTTGGGGAAAGTCCGGGATCTGGCAAGCAGTCACACTTGTGGGCTTCTTTTCTTTCAATAGCAGCACTTGATTCTGACAGACAGCAAGGGGGCTTTAAACAGAACACATTAACTTTGGATCTTGACATGATTGCGGACTTCATTCATCGGTCACATATTGTTTCTTCAAGGCCCTTTTCCGGGCAATATTTTCTCACCGCATGCAGTCAAGCCTCGTAAACAGGAGATGAGCGCACTTCCTCAGAGTAAATCATTATCTGTGTGCAGAACTGACTCAACGCCCTTTCTCAGTCTCATCTATCCTCCTTCCACAGCTCTCCCACACTTTGACCAGCACCTTACCCTCACTCCCTTTTTATTATGTGTCCTTTTCACGTATCTCAAATTTCGGTGTTTGTTATTGGAAAAATATCCCTCCGTCCACCCTGTGCACAAACAGACTCTCGCATACCTCGATGGCGCTGGCAAGTCCAACTCTTGTTTCCTAATCAAAAGTAAACAACCATTAAGAGAGCCCCTTCCTTGTTATCTCACACCAGCAAGTCACTTTATCAATCTGGATTCTCCAGTAAAAAAAAAAAAAGTGCCTCACACAAGAAAAAAAGGGTCAAACACAATGGTAAAATAACTTAAATTCCACTACAACTGACCTCACATGATGTCATATTGTGTTTAGATAGGAACACAGCATAAGGAAACTGGTGCTATTTTAACAATTATTAGCACTCAAACACTGAATGACTTTTATGAGAGCACGAACATATTGGCATGTGAGTTGAGGACAAAATGCCTTTTAAAAACATCTCTCTGGTTGGTAAAACAAAGATTGGGTTTCTAACAGATGTGCTGATCACAGGTCTACCTTTGCCATTTTTAATTCACCAGAGGCTATATTAAGTATTCTGTTATAATGATAAAAATGAGCCAATCAATCAAAACTCAATTACAACATGTGTTGAGTTTATTTGAGTTTAAAAAAACATTTGTAATAGCAAAGACAGAATGATCCATGTAAAGCATAGTTTAAAATGTCTGGATTGGCTCCATCTTCCTGCTCAATCTTCAGGGACACGATTACATTTGATTACTTTTTATGTTTTGTAGATTGTGTGAAGAGAATATTTTTTTAGCCCTTGCAGCAAATTGGGTGGAGAGTAAAAGCTAGAGTGCTATTACATGAGGAGTGGAAGAAGAAAAAATACAAAAGTGAGCATTTTTAGAAAAATATCCAGAGTATGCACTCTTTGTAAATATTTGTTTGACAGTCATAGGCATGCTGTAGTTGACAAAACTGTCCAGTAAGTTGTCCACACAGCAACTTTAATGAAGGCACCCTTCCAGAGCGTGACTTTATGGAGAAGTAGAACGTTTTTCAGAGCAGAAAATGTTGGAAGGGAAAGCAGTTACCCACTTTTGGATTACCGCCGCGTCGCTGACATCCCAGTCAGACGCGCCTGGCGTGTTAACACTTACGAGGGCTTTGCCATTATCTCAGTGCGGCTTGGTCTTTGCCTCGCGCAATTACGCCTCCCGCTGAGCTCTATGCAGGCGTTAAACGAAACATTAGCACCTCATTTGAAATATAAAACAGTGTTTCATGAGGACAGACAGCTCCCTGGGCAGTCTTATCATTCGCAAATTAGCCAATTTACCAAACTGGCCCCTCTCTTTACAGAAACAGCAATCCGGAGCCTGACGCGCCTTTGCTTTACTCCGTGTGTGTGTGTGTGTGTGTGTGTAAACGCAGATTGTATTTAACCCAAATTGATTATGTTAAGCAATGCAAGCTGATATTCTTGTTTACTTAAGTTGTCAGTAGATCTGTTCTAGCAAATAGAAGGCTATTTGACACCATGCAGAAAAATCCTACACACAAAGGACAGTCCAAACGTGTGTAGGATATATTCAAAAATATCATTGGTTGACTTGTTTGTCTGTAGTTAGTCGATCAGAGGAGGACGTCAAAATAGGATTTTTTTTCTTAATGCAAGGTACCAACCTGGTCCCCCTGAGTTTAAATTGTACAATCATGAGCCACAGAAATAAACATTGATTGACTGGCCGGGAAGCACCGCCCCTGTCGGCTTGTGGTTGGAGGAGCGGCTCCGGGGGGATGTCCACGGTCAGGCACCAGTATAAAATCAGCACCACTTGGTCGACTGGCTGATGATTCGTATGGGAAGAGGGATTGATGTGGGGCAAACGCGCTGAATGTAGCCGTTGTGTTTTGAAGGAAGAAAGGAGGCCCCGCGTTCTTCTGTTTACATCGGCCGGGCACCCAGCGTCTGCGTTTTTGTTCACAGACCATATCTGAGGATACGAGGAGCAGCCTCCGCCAAAAAAACAAGCCGAATTCTCCTCTCAGCCATCTTTGCCTGTCGTCGCCCTGAAGGCTGTGTTCTCTCCTCGCTCCTCCTCAACTCAAAGTAAACACGGGCTTGCACGTTACGTGCAACTCCGTGCGAGATCCCCCGAGAGAGGCGAGATGGGCTGGATGCGCAAAGTCTAACCGGACCGGGGGGGAATCTGTGCCAGAGCAGGTATAGCGGAAGGGGGGACAAGACATCGGAGAACATGGACCTGTTTGGGATTTTCCTGCTCCTCTCGGTCGCTCTCCTTCCACGGTTCAGCTGCACCACGGCCAAGGAGATCACCTGCCAGGAGATAGCCGTGCCCCTGTGCAAGGGGATCGGCTACAACTACACCTACATGCCCAACCAGTTCAACCACGACACGCAGGACGAGGCGGGACTGGAGGTGCACCAGTTCTGGCCTCTGGTCGAGATCCAGTGCTCGCCGGACCTTAAGTTCTTCCTCTGCAGCATGTACACTCCGATCTGCCTGGAGGACTACAAAAAACCTCTGCCGCCCTGCCGGAGCGTGTGCGAGCGCGCCCGTGCCGGCTGCGCGCCCCTGATGAGGCAGTACGGTTTCCCCTGGCCGGACAGGATGAAGTGCGACCTGCTGCCCGTGCAGGGCAACCCGGACACTTTATGCATGGACTACAACAGGACCGACTCCACCACGGTTTCCCCGGTGCTGTCAAAACCCACCAACCACCCCGGGAAAGGCTACAGCCCGCCGAAGAGTAAACCGCCAAGACCCGGCTCACCCGGAAAGTACAAGCCGCCCGCCTCCCCCTGTGAGCCCGGGTGTAAGTGTTTGGAGCCCATGGTGCCTGTAAATACGGAACGGCACCCGCTTTATAACCGGGTCAAAACGGGACAGATCACCAACTGCGCCATGCCGTGCCACAATCCCTATTTTACGCACGACGAGAGAGCGTTCACCGCGTTTTGGATCGGACTTTGGTCGGTGTTGTGCTTCGTGTCAACTTTTGCCACCGTCGCCACTTTCCTCATAGACATGGAGCGCTTTAAGTATCCGGAGAGACCGATCATATTCCTGTCTGCCTGTTACATGTTCGTTTCGGTGGGATACATCGTCCGGCTGATCGCCGGACACGAGAAAGTGGCGTGCAACAGGGAGTTCGACCTGGAGCACATCCACTACGAGACCACCGGCCCGGCTCTGTGCACCGTGGTCTTTCTCCTCATTTACTTTTTCGGCATGGCCAGTTCCATCTGGTGGGTCATCCTGTCGCTGACCTGGTTCCTCGCGGCCGGGATGAAGTGGGGCAACGAGGCGATCGCCAGCTACTCTCAGTATTTCCACCTGGCAGCATGGCTGATTCCGAGCATGAAATCCATCGCGGTGCTCGCGCTCAGCTCCGTGGACGGAGACTCCGTGGCCGGCATCTGCTACGTGGGCAACCAGAACCTGGACAACCTGCGCGGCTTCGTCCTGGCCCCTTTGGTGATTTATTTATTCATAGGCACCATGTTTCTCCTGGCCGGATTCGTGTCGCTGTTCAGGATCCGCAGCGTCATCAAGCAAGGCGGCACAAAAACCGACAAGCTGGAAAAGCTGATGATCCGAATTGGGATTTTCACAGTGCTCTACACCGTGCCGGCGACCATAATAGTCGCTTGTTACTTTTATGAGCAGCACAACAGACAGAGCTGGGAAATTACGCACAACTGCTCCAACTGTTTACTGGAGCGGGACCGCCGGAGCCCGGACTATGCCGTTTTTATGCTCAAGTACTTCATGTGCCTTCTGGTGGGCATCACGTCCGGGGTGTGGATCTGGTCCGGCAAAACTTTGGACTCCTGGAGGACTTTCTGCACGAGGTGCTGCTGGGGCAGCAAAGGCACCAGCGGCTCCATGTACAGCGACGTGAGCACCGGGCTGACGTGGAGGTCGGGCACGGCCAGCTCCGTGTCCTGCCCCAAGCAGATGCCATTGTCCCAGGTCTGAATGGGAGAATAAAAGCAGTTTATGAGGACTGCTAATTGCTCGGGAGATAACCCATCGCACTGTGTCTCAAGCAATTTGCATCGCAATGAACTGCTGCCTAGGTGTCCCCCCCCCCCCCACCCTCCTTCAGCCCCCACAGACACCCACACACACCTATGTGGGTCCAAACAATTTACCTGTTGTTCACACACTTTAATTCCCTCTTTTTAGTTTGTTTGTTTGTTTAAGAAGTACAAACTAAGAAAACTGGGCATTATGTGCTGTAAGCAGAGAGGCTGTTTTGTTTCCAGCCTCACAAATCGAGCATTTAGTATTTCTACTACCATTTTTTTTTCTTACTTGTGCCACATGACATTGAATGATGATTCAACTGCAGCAGAGGTGGTTTAAATTAAGCCTTAATTAAGCCCCAGTATTTTTACGGGTCGGTCATTTTGTAATTTCAAATGTATTTATATAAAGATTATGTAAAAAAAAACTTGTATATTTGTGCATAAAAGAGAACTTTATAAGATATTGTGAATTTGTACAAAGTGTAGATGTCTCTTTTTTCCGTGGGAAGAAAAAGCAAATATGACCTTTATTTTGACAATAAAACATTTGATAAATCTAAAGATCTGTGTAACAATGGGTGTTTTCAAATGCATGGGGAGGCTTCCTGGCGCCCAGCCTGAGCAGGCTTGCGGTTTTTCTTGTGGTCGCCGTGTTGGGGATGGCAGCAGCGTTTTGAGAGCCCTGGCTAAATAGGAAGCTCTTTTAACCATCAGAGACCAGTAATTAGAGGCAGGGGTTGAGTTGGAGCATCTCCATAATTGTTCAAGTCCTCTTCACATGCTTGCCGAGGCCTGCTTTCTTAATTTAGTAAAAGAGGGGAGTGGGTGAATGGGGGGTATAAATGCAGGGACGGGGGCCTTTTCATCTGCAAAAACTTTGATCTTTCTTTTTTAACAGCCTAGAATAAAGGTGGTGTTTATTAGGAGTGTCTGTCAGATGTGCCAAGGTTCCCCCTAAATGTTCTCATTTGGATGCTTTGATGGACGTCCTACAATTGGAGGGAGCATTTTGGAACCCCTTGCTTTTTCAGTGGGGTTGTCAGAGCTGAAACCCCCCTCAGAGCCCCTGCATCTTGTGTTTGGGTTTTTTTTTTTCCCCTTGAAATTTCTTCTTCTTTTCTTACAGGGCCTGAATTGAAACATCTTCTCCCTCAGTTCAACCAGTGTCAGCAAGTGCAAGGACCTGGACATGAATGAAATTGAAATAGCAATGAAAGCCCCACAGGTGGTCTGTTCACATGATCTCACATCTTAGGGGCCCTTAATCGCGGCATTTCTGCTACTAATGTATCTGGTTTAGTCCCAATTAACCCAATGCACTGGCAGAAGACAAACACAATAACCCAGCATAGATATGCCTTTGATTTACTGCTCACTGGTGACATCGTTTTTTCCCCATTTATTCAACTACTGTCAAACTGTAAATGGTACAGTCCAATCCTGTAGAATTATGCCTTCTCAACAGTCCTGAGTAGTTTTAATGCTTGTGCAAAGTTATGTTGTCAAATTCAATACTTTTCTTGGAGTAGAAGACAAGCTTGTTTGACTACTCTCTTTAGGGCCATGAAAGATGGAAATATTTGTAGTTTCTTTAATCTGTTTGGCTTATTTCTCTGGTGTTTACCACAAATACCTGAGTCCCACAGTGTGCAACGGCCTGCCAGCCTTACAGCCAAACTGCTAATATACATCTCCATCTAGTGGTGACGGTACTACTGCACTTAAATAAGCACAATAATTGCTCCCAGAATCACACTTGAATCATTCTCCAGATCTCTCCAAAGTCTGAAACGCAGGATATGATTCAAAATCTGAAACAAAAAGTTTAGAGATGTTCTTCACACCAGCTGCATGACAGTTTGTGTTAAGTGGTCACTGTCCTGGCTCCTGTTTTCAGTTAAATGTACATCTTTATACAGTTCTGATTTTCTGAGACACCACTTCATTTAATTATTTGATATGATTTGTATCTATTGTCCACATGACAAAAGTGGTACAGATCAGTTTAAAACCTGCAGAAATCAAATCACTGAACCTATCTTGGATAGAATATTCTTTTTTTTTAATTAGTCAAGTCATGAGGAACACTCAGACTCACTGCCTATAAAATATTAATGTTAACATTTGAAAGGAAGACAGTACAGAGGAAGAAGGTAGGTTGATCATCTTTTTAATATTGAGCCGTTTTATAGAACTTGGGAAAGTTTTTTGTTTTTCAAAAGCAATTAATACATTAGATACTGAGGCTGAAGTCAGTTTTTCTTTTTTACACACAAATTAGCTATAATGTATGGAATTTTGCATTAAGATTATAATTTAAATGATAAATGTGTCTTTCTTACATGCAGATTAACAATAGCAGTATAAAAACTTTTGTTCAATTGGTACATTCTTCTAGGCATAAAGCATAACCGGGACCTGAGATTTCTTTAACCCATTATGATTAATGTTGAAGCTTCTGACCCTTTTGTCAGGCATTTTATTCCCATCTGTCTATTTGAGGCACCAGATGTTGGAAAATGACGAAGTTCTGAGTTGTGTCAGCCCACACGGTTATGGTTTCTAAGGGAGATAAAAGTTACCAAAGTTGTCACACTTTGGTTGTTTTGAACTGAACACAGAAAGATAGTGTGTATGTCTTAATACTAATTGTCTGATGACTTTGTAACTTCTCTATGGAGGACATTTTTTTGCATCTACAAAGTAGAAGTGGTCTGGTTAATGTTTTGTCAGACGTACAAATCTAAAACAATAAATGCATAGTTTTGGGATCAGCTTTAACAATAAATGCATAGTTTTGGGATCAGCTTTAGTTTAATAAAGAAGTCAATATAAATGGCTTGCTTTCCAGTGGCACAGCAACAATGCCTCCGTGGTTTAGTAGTCCTTACAGTGCACCCCCGCTGGCTTTTCCAACCCAAGGACTCAACCCCCCCTCCCCTTGTGTGTGGAACACAGTGTTCCTTCAGTCTTTCTCAAACTGACTGACATGTACACAAAAGAGAACCTTCTTTCATCTGCCACGCCGACTGTTTTCCCAGATTCGCCCTCGGTATGGGCGTGCTGGGCTAACCTCCAGACCAACAAAAACAGCCCTGCTCTCAAGACTGATGATGGATGCGATGGCACATATCTGATAATAGATTAAGATGGGGCAGAACAATCAGGGATGATAAATAGTCAGTGATGCTGTGTTTCTAACACCAGGCATCCAGGGTTTTTTTTTTTTTTTGTTCAGTGCAAAAACTGTTGTCCTTAGATACAGCTGGCGCCTTGTTGTACTCCCCACCAATTTCAAAGAGAAATCTGTTGATTTCACCATCCAGGGTGTACCCTGCCCCTCGCCCATTGAATACTGGGATGGGCTCCAGTCCTGCCCGTGACTCCATTTGGTAATAAGCGGCACAAAAAATGGATGGATGGATGTATGTATCTGTTGATTTCTGTTTAATTAAAAAGTGTTCTGAACCAGCTCATTTGCTTCCTTGATACACTTCGTTAGCCAGACAAAAAGTTGGACTTAAAAAGTTACATTTCTAATTACAGAACTGTTGCTTACACTACTTATTTCCCTACACAAATCATTTTGTGCTTCTGTGTCAGTCAAAGATACATTCAAATGCAATACTCATTTCTCTACACAAGGGGGAGTCATCAACTACATATTGTCTTTGTTCCCATAGTGAGCATCTCAGAGTGAAGAGCAAAATAAAATGAGGGGGTTAGGACTTTTTGTGTTTCAAGGTATTTCATTCTCTGTAGTACATTGTTTAATATTTTCTACAATGTTTTAATTGTGTTTCGTATGGTTTTGAACAAAAAAGAAACAGAAATATTCGGGGGGCAAAAACCTTTGAAAACTGTGCATTGAACGAATCCAAATGTTCAAACAAATTAGAATGATTTAGTTGAAATAAAGAGTTTTAGATTTTAGAGAAGTGCGCTACACCCCTGAATCACACGTGTTTTTTATGTGTTTGTTGTATTATCAGTAGTTATCGACACCTTCATTAAAAAGTCACCAAAAAACGAGAAAAGGCCCAACACTTACACCCTTATCTGAAAGAGTTTGTATGCAATGACTTTTTCAATAGTATACTTATGTGTAGTTTATTAATTAATATCTTTATAGGACAGTAGGGCTCATCAAATATTTGCTTGTTGTGCAAGATACAGTATTTTAACAGACTTAGAGTACCTCATTATTTCAAGATCCATCCTTATTTTGGAAGTTAGATATTCCTGGGGGAAAGGGCACCTTTCATCTGGAATAAAAACAACATAATACTTCTCACCCATAGCAGGTAATATTATGGGATGTCCATGTCTTTCATAGTACAGTAGAGTCAGACATTCACAGTGTGGTCTATGTTTAAAAAAAAAAAAATGTTACATGTATCATTAAAGCACTGACTTTATAAGTTATGTTTACATTTATTCCTTGTTTGCACTTAAAATCCCTAAATCTTACTATTGTATTTCTTATAATTCAAAGTTACATTTCTTCTAAAACATATAGACCATAATACTTAGCAAATGAGTGAGGTCCAAGAACCAAAAACTACAAACTACAGACCTAACCTGCACGATGAAGATAGAAGCCACATTTAAAAACTAAATTAAACCTATAATGCCAAATGTTTCATATTTGATTCATACGGTTGCTGAAGTATTTTGGATCTGAGACTTTTTGCATCATTCAATGATAAAAGCTTTGCTCAAACCCCTGTTGTACACATTCAGATTTACCTGATAACAGCCAGTAGAAGACTACACCAAAATAGATATTTTTGATTGATTGCACGCTAATTTGACCAAAATAATTTCTGTTTTTTTTCTTCATATGTTGTTGAGGGGCCAAAGAAAGACTTCAGACTAAAAAAATCCAATATTCTTCCTATTTTCCTTGGATCAGGCTTTAAAGGGTTAAAGGACACAAGGTTTGAGTGTTTTCAATTTATACAAGTGGAACAGTGATTACTGATTATTTTTTCTGCTATTGGATCCACAGGAAATTAATCTACATGTGTATCAACGCTCTTTTATAGTGTCCTCCAGATGGCTTGTCTTTTACTGTCATTTTCCCAGAATTCTTTGCTCTCTGGCCTGCATCCCTTGACCAAAATTCCTCAAAGTCATCGGAGTGAAGAAGGAAGACTTCTTCCAGCTCACCCTATAATTGATTAGTGCAGATCCCTTCAAATAAACTAAGCGAACCTCCACCCGGTGGGTGAAGTTGATGCTGACTTCCTCAATGGACTAAATAACTTCTTCGGAAGGTTTGAGGCACTAAACCCCACTCCAGCCGTGAAGGCTGTTCCCCGTCAGGAAGAGGAGGTCCTCTGCCTTGACACAGCCGATGTGTGGAAGACTCTGAGAAGAGTCAACCCGCGGAAGGCCCCAGTTCCCAACAACGTACCTGGGCGGATGCTCAAGGAGTGTGCAGGTCATCTAGCTGGTGTCCTCACAGACATTTTTATCACCTCGCTGGACCAAGCAACAAGCAGCGTGCTTTAAGTCTGCCTCCATCGTTCCGGTACCAAAGAAACCTCAAGTCACCCGTTTTAATGAATACCGGCCCATTTGACTGACTCCCATCATCATGAAGTGCTTTGAAAGGCTGGTAAAAGAACACATTGTCTCCAGTCTCCCTCCAAACATTCAACCCGTTCCAATTTGCCTACCGGCAAAACCGCTCCACTGAGGACGCCATCTCCTCCGCTCTTCACCTGAGCCTGACACAGTTGGAGGAGAAGAACACCCACATGCGGACTTCAGTTCAGTTTTCAACACCATCATCCCACTGCATCTGGTAGGAAGGCTGGAACACCTGGGCTTCAGCACACCCCTTTGCAACCGGCTGCTAGACTTCTTCATCAACAGACCTCAATCAGTCCAGGTCGGACAGAACACCTCTGATGTCATCACCCTCAGCATGGGCGCCCCCCAGGGCTACGTCCTGAGCCCCCTGCTGTTCACTGCGTCCCCAGGTTCACCACCAATCACAACGTGAAGTTTGCAGACGACACAACGGTGGTGGGCCCGATCAGAGGCGACAACGACCGGGACTACAGAGAGGAGGTGGAGCAGCTGGTGGGCTGGCGTAGAAACAACAGCCTGATCCTGAACGCGGAGAAGACGAAGGAGATCATCGTTGAATTGGGGAGGTATCGGCCTCGCCACGCTCTACTGCGCATCAACAGCTCAGGTGTGGAGGTGGTGTGATCAGACTGTTGAATTATTGAATTCTGTTCTTGTCTTAAGCTGTATGCAACAAAATTTTCGTTCTGTTTGCACTCTGTACATACAAAATGACGGTAAAGTTGTCTAAGACTAAGTCTAAGTCTGAGTTTACCTTACATTTTCAGTGTAGGATGAACTCTTTTAAATGTTTGTATGTCCTTTCTACATGAAGAAGTTCATCAAATGTTTGTTGCGTATCTTAAACCTAGAAAATCAAAATAGGTTTGTCATCCAAATTGAATCATCACCTTGACTCAAGTTATGACTTCTGCTGATAATGCCAATGTATCATATTTGATTCATACGGTTTCTGAAGTCTTTTGGATCTGAGACTTTTTGCATCATTCAGTGGTAAAAGCTTTGCTCAAACCCCTGTTGTACACATTCAGGTATACCCGATAACAGCCAGTAGAAGACTACACCAAAATATATATTTGACTTATTGTACGCTAATTCGATTAAAATAATTTCTGTTTTTTTTCTTCATATGTTGTTGAGGGGCCAAAGAAAGACTTCAGAATAAAAAAATCCAATATTCTTCCTATTTTTCTTGGATCGGGCTTTAAAGGGTTAATCTAGGGCTCAAACATTGTTCCCACAGCTTTTCCTCAGTGTTGAAACTGTTAAGACTCATGTGAACTACTGCAAGCTACGTTACCTTTCAAGTCACACAAAAAGATTGAGTCAAATAAGAAGATGAATCCACTCTAAATGACAATCAACTCATCCACATATTCTGTGGTGGATGGCTTTCATGGCTACCTGATGTGATGTGACATAAGAATTCCGGAACAGTTGGGGGGGGGGGGTCTTTGAATTACATTGTTTTCAATATCATCAAATATGTAATAAAAAAGCTTGGCAATAGCACTGTTCAATTACTATCATTACAGAACTCTGTATGTATGTGAGAGTTTGTATGAATGGATGAATTTCCACAATCAGTAAATGAGCAATGGATATCTACCAAGACAAGCACCAAAAAACATATACATCTGCCTGAAAACAATAATGAAATCAGAAAAAATATTTGAATGCATCCAATTATTCCAAAACAAATAAATGTACACATTTAAATATGATATATTCTATGTATTACATTCCACTATCACATGAATAGTAATTCATTCGATACAGAATGTGGTTCACAAATCAAATTAAATGTTTATATGCATTTAGTTAAATTTGCAAACAATGATGATGTACCATTTGCAAAAGGCATCCATCTATTCTTGTATAAGATAATTTAAGTGTTTAAAAAAGTATTTAAAAAAGGCTACTGCAAAATCAATAAAGGGTGAAACATTTTATGTCATCTTCAGTCATTACAGCATTAGAGCAAATTACACATATCCAACATGTGAAAGCAATGCACATAGAGTGTCTCTGGAGGGCAGTATTACTCCACACCACATTGTTGGCTCAGGTCACTATTATCACAATAATGAACAGAATATGATGCATGTAAATCATGCTTAGTGTATAAACCCTAATTTTTCTTGAGAGTTTTTAATGCCATTGGCTTACATATAGAAATATAAGAGATAAAATGAAAACAACATTAACAAATAAAGATAATTAAAAATATATATTAAACTGGATTAGGTTTTTTATTGATTGTTAAAGTAATTTAATTAGGTAAAATTACTCTATAACTGGTAATTATGAATGGTAATAATGTAATGGAATATGAATATAGAAATTCCAAACATTTATGTCTGTATGACAAAATTGTAATCACAATTTATGTATTCATCCACTTTCTATATCCTCTTATTCTAAGTAGGCCCAGCTGTCATTGTTTAGGACAACAGATTCATCCCAAAGAGCTTTGAAAAAACAATATCATGATTTCAGTTTTGCTTTGAATTAATGTCATCCCAGACTTATACATTTTTTTAAGTATGAGCAGCTTTGTTAAGACCAATTGAAAAAACGTATACCGTCCCAACTTTGACCTGGTGGAAACTCTTTGTTGTTGGCCAGATGATAAGGAGGATGCAACAGTCTTTGGCATGGTAAATTATGGGTGTGGGGGGCCTTTGTTGTCTTCTTCAAAAAGACCACAAGAGGATGAAGATCAAGAGCTATCTATTTACACAGAGACCAACCCCTTTGGCTCCTCATTGACAAAAGAGTGATATTGATTTATTGTGGTAGTGTCATGCATTTTCCAAAATGATTACATAGATTTCCAAATCTTCCGGTTGTCAGGTTACACTGGCTTCAAAATATCAGCCAGGAAAAACCTCAATTGTACTGTTTGTAATGGACATGTGTCTCAGTAGGATGCAGTCTCAGGCAAATATTGATCTGATATTTGATAAACGTGAAACTAAAGCAGAGTGCAGATATCCTGCAGGGCAACAGCGAGAGGTCTTCTACGCTGAACACTATTTCCAGTGCCATAGTGTGTTAAAGTTTGTATTTCTCTTAAGCTCTTTGAGGCCTTAAAATAGAGTGACAAGCTGTACACACAAATACAGAGCCCCTATGGGGGAACATAATTACTTTGTGATCCTGTGACAGCTTTAGGGGACTTCTTTGTGTCCTTGACTTCTGTGGAGGAATCTTATTCCCTTATGGGCCTGGTAACAAGCACCTTAGTGAGATTACTGCCTTTCATTCAGACCTTCTGACATCAGGGCCAGGGGCAGACCATGGCCAAGCTGACCCTACTGACACACATCCACGCACAAAAGAAAGAGTGGTGATATCTGCACTGGTATCATTTAAAACGACTGCGGTGGGGGTTTGTGTACTCAGGACAGGTCAAGGCCTGCCTTTGTTTGTGAACAAGGTGTTGGTGGAACAAGGGGTCAAGTCAACATGAAAGAAACAGGTGGGGCGCACTCTTTTAGACTTTTGCAAGTATCCATTTGTTCAAAATGTCACATTATCCTTTACTGGTTAGAGAGCTGGTAGAAATTTAAAAACTTTGCGTCACATGCAAAAGCTAAGAAAAAAGCTGTTGCATGTTAGGAGGATTAATAAACAGTAAATAGAATCATCAGTTTGAGACACATGGTAAGTCTGTAAAATGAGGTAGTGGGCATTGAAGGAGACTCAGCACCCTGTAGCCAATAGCTGCATTTTATTTCTGCCACAGTTATTAACTCAAATCTTTGTGGCAAAGTTACTAGAAAAAAAAAAGGAAAAAAACATTGAGTCATACCCACTCTGATAATTTCTCCTGTCCATCTCCATTGTTTTTTGAGTCTACAGCATCGCTCAGTTCAATCAGAGTATACTGGCCCATGCTCCTTGAACAGACACCATTTGCTGTGGAAGCATCTCCTGTCGGGGCTGGTGGCCCTCCGGTTGGAAACTCAAGGTCCCGTCTGGGTGGAGGTGGAGGTTTGAGTCTGCTGCGTTTGTTAACCCGGATGGGTCTTGGAGTCCCTGTGGTTTCTTGGGGGCAGAGAGCCACCTCACTGCCATTCCTCTCAAGAGGTTCACCTTCATGAACTGAATAAATGTTGCTCCCATTGCAGTTTGGAGATCCGGGAGAACGTGGATGGACGCAACGCTCCGGGGGTTGAGTCTCCTGACTCAAATTGAGTGTTCCTCCTCCACAAGATTCCTTGCTGCCACACCTCTTCCTAAAATTCCTTATTTTTTCAGACTGTTCCTTAAGACCTGGTTGAACAAGAGCGGCGTCGGTGGCAGTCCCTGTGGAGGCCAAACAGTGTTCTTCTTCAAATAGTTTCTCCACCATCATCTTCTTTTTTCTCTTTTTTTTCACTGAACGTTTCACGGCGCACAAAAAATCCAAAATGTTGAGTAGAAGAGAAAATGCAGCCACTCCGAGCATGAAGTTGAGCATCACAGTCTTCTCGGTGGGCCTGGAGATGTAACAGTCCACCTGGGTAGTGCACGGAGCGTGGTGGCACAGAAACCTTCTGGGGATGTAGAAACCGAACAGGTAGTAGTGAGCTGCCCCAAACCCTGCTTCCAGCAACGTCCTGAACAACAGATGGACGATGTAGGCTCCAGAAAAGCACTGAGCCGTGCCTCTCTCCTTGACCGAAGATTTCTTATTGAGCGGCTCCTGGGGAACCTCAAACAGCTGGGAAGCGTTGCCATGTTCTGAAGAGTTATGGGCCACCCAGAGAGTATTCGAAACCTTATGGATCACATAGATGACAAATAGGATGTAGGGGAGAGACAAAGTGATGAGCTGCACCAGCCAAAAACGGAAGAGCGAAATAGGAGAAAAAAGATCGTAGCAAACATTGACGCAGCCTGGCTGAATAGTGTTGCACACAAATCTCTCCTGCTCATCCTGGTAGAGAGGGAAACCGGCAAAGAAGAGGATCAGGATACGGAGGAAAACCATCACGATGAGCCATACCTTCCCTGTGAAAGCACATACATAGATTTCTGAGTGCAAGTAGATATTAACTATTAAAAAGATTAGCAATTCATAAGGTTTTCCATAAATAAACAAAAGAGACACTCTGTTTCTGTCCATAGCTGTGGGTTATTTTGTTCAAATTTATAATCAGGTATTGAATGAACTCACCCATTAAAGTGATGCTTTGATTGACAGAGATAAAGAGGAGCTCTGAAGCACTTGATACCACCATGTTGGCTGTGCTGGAGGCCCTCTAAAATCCCCCAAAGTCCTCACGTTGCTGGGCACACACTGAAAACCCTTCAGCTACAGCCTCACTTCTTTCCACCTGAAGGGTCACTTTGGTTTCCAGGGGGGACAGCAGACAGACAATCATCCAGATAGATCATGTTCCCAGTAATTTTGTGTAACAGAGTTACAAGACTCAGCCAAGTGTCTGACGTAAACCACACAAAGCCTCCGTCTTACCTCTTGCTCCGTCCCCTGCAGATGACTGTCTGTCCTCAGACAACAGAAGACAGGAGCGTGGCCTATTGTAGATCTATTCTTAACACTTCCAAAAGCGTGCCGCCGTCCTTGCATTGCAGAGATATTTTGGTGCTTGTGAGTGTCCTTACTGTGTAGAGGAACAAGACTAATGACTTAGACATTCAAAATTGTGGCATTAAAGGCCTGGAGCATAATTACCGTCATGTTCACAATGAGTTCTCCATCGTTTTGCTTCATTTTTTATTAATAAAGTAAGATAACACATAGGCATGCAGACTGTGGCTTTTCCCTCATGAAATTTAAGTAGGCTGTAAAATGTATTTTCCCACAGCTGATGCCAGTTTATATGGGAAGAGGATTTGCAGTGTGGATGAAGAATAACACCGTTGGTCGTTGTTAATCTGAAGAGAAGCACTTTAGATAGTTGTTAAAACTTACAATGTTCATTTTGATTTACGACAAAGGGGCTTTATTATTCATGAATATAAAAAGATCAGTTGACAATGTCTGTTACTAGGACTCATGAAATGGGTGACAATGAGAACTGTGTTGAATTTTCATTCAGTTCAGACCTCAAGCACTGTCTCAGCACTATGATACAACCAGGCCTTAGGCTGGAATCTAAAATAAAGATTTAAAGAAAAATGTTCTCTCACAAGCACAGTATTGGAGACATACTAAACTGTGCCACTCGCTTACACTTGAACACACCATCTTGTTCTATAAGCACATATACTGTGGAGCATTTTGCAGATTTTCTACTGACAGAACATTTAGATTACTGATGGTTCCGCTGCAGTATGCCCTATTGAAGAGAACCAATTTTGGAAAGAGCAATACAGTTTTCTCATTGAGAAAAGAAACCCGCCGCCCCTCAGACAATCGGTGGCTCTGCTTATCTGGGACACATGTCACATTGTCCTTGGGTAAGACAGGATGCATCCACCATTGAGTGAATATGTGAAATTGAGGTAACCTGGGACAGCCTACAGCACTATATGCACTAAAAGTGTGTGTGGATGAGTAAAACTGGCTTGGAGTTAGACTAGGGGAAGTTAGACTAGGAAGGATAGAAACTTCATTGATCCTGAAAGAAATTCTGCTATGTAAAGCAATACATACAGTGAGTTAAAAAAGTATTTAGTCAGCCACTGATTGTGAAAATTGTCCTACTTAGAAAGATGAAATCTCTGTAATTCACATCTATGAGAGGCAAAATGAGAAAAACTAAATACAGGAAATCACACTGTAGGATTTTTAAAGAGTTTATTTGGTAAATTATGGTGGAAAATAAGTATTTGATCGCCATCAAGCCAGTAAGATTTCTGGCTCTCACAGACTTGTTATTTCTTCTTGAAGAGTCTCTTCTGTAATAATGGTACCTGTTTGAAAAATACACCCTATCTCAGCCTCAAACCGTTAGACTACAAACTCAACCTGGCAAAGACCAAAGAGCTGTTGAAGAACACCAGGAAGAAAAATGTAGACCTGCACCAGCCTGGGAACAGGGAATCTCCAATAGGAAAGCAGGTTGGTGTGAATAAATCAACCATGGGAGCAGGTGTAAGAAAATGGAAGTTATACAGATGATGATCAGTCTCAATCTGGGGCCCAATGCAAGATCTCATCCCATGGGGTGAAACTGAGAAAGGTGAGACAAAATCCCAAAACTAAACGGAAGAACCTGATGAATGACCTGCAGACCTGCTTCAACGCACGTTATTCTGATTAAGTGGATCAGTTCTAAGGGTAAGCACGAGCCTGATAATGGCACTCTGACATGAATCAGATGTGTTGAAGCAGGGAAACCTCTAAAACATGAAGGACGTTGGCCCTTGAGGACCGACTTTGGACACCCCTGTAATAGAAGGTTGGGAGAAAATCATACTGTTAAGCACGGGGGTAGTAACATTATGCTTTGGTGCTGTTTTCTTAAAAGGGTACAGTACAACTTACAAGGAATGAACTGTTCATGTATCCTGACATTTTAAGATAAAACCTCCTATCAGATGGAACATGGCTAGGTGTTCCAAGAAGACAATGATCCCAAACGCACCACACAGGCAACAAAAGTGTCTCTTTTTAACCCTTTAAAGCCTGATACAAGAAAAAGAGGAAGAATATTGGATTTTTTATACTGAAATCTTTATTTGGCCCCTCAACAAAATATGAAGAAAATAAAAAAAGAAATGATTTGATCAAATTAGCATGCAATATGTCAAAAATATATTTTCTTGTAGTCTTCTACTTGCTGTTATAAGGTATATCTGAATGTGTACAACAGGGTTTTGAGCAAAGCTTTTACCACTGAATGATACAAAAAGTCTCAGATCCAAAAGACTTCAGAGACAGTATGTATCCAATATTACACATAAGGCATTGTAGTGTTAAGGAGGATTGGTATTTTATGGTCCTGGAGTGGCCTTACCAGTCTCCAGATCTCAACCCCATAGAAAATTTGTGGAGGAAGTTGAAAGTCCATGTTGCTCTGTATTTTCCACCATATTTTGCAAAAATTCTTGTAAAATCCACAAAGTGAATATCTGAATTCCTTTTTTCCCCCCTCATCTTTCTATTCATAGTTGAAGTATACATAGAATGAGAATTATATACTTCATCTTTCCATGTAGGAGAACATTCATAAACACTGGCTGACTAAATACTTTTTGCCCCACTGTAAATGCAATTGATTTATCACCTTTTGTTATAAATTTTACTTTTTTTGCAAATACACATCAAAGTATTTTGTCATTGTTTGTTTCCCCATATTTAACATCTATTTTATGAATTAAGAGGCCTTTACAAATTTCTGAGGATGACTTGGTCAGATAAGACTAAAACCTGGTCCCATGTTCAACAGAGGGACAAAGGAACTAAAACTGGGCTAGTTCCAAACTACAATGATTTTGAGTAAACTTCGAAGGAAATGTTCTAGTAATTTGAGGGCAATATTTGACTTGTATATTCAGAGTCAAGCTTTCAATATGCTATTTAATATGAAGAAAACCTGTTGTAGTTAATGGATTCCTGTGCTCCAGTAGAACCCACTCATCTTGAGGAAACTACTAGTACTGAAAATAGGATTTTGTTCTGAGTATGTTGATTACTTATACATAAATCATTTCTCAAATCTCTAGTTTTGCTTTTATGTTCCCATTATTCAAACAATATTTCCCCTACAAAGAAGTAGCTGTATAAATGCAGTGATAATATATCATGTTTGATATGAATTGAATAAATGTTTTAAGAGGTTAAAACATTTCCAAGGCACTCCACACAGTAAAAATGTACACAGTAAAAAAAATACAAAAAGAAAAAACGCACTTGATGCATCTGTAGTGTTCAACCATGGTGTTATAACCTGGTAAATCCTCTGGCTGAATATGGTACAGATTGCTTGGAGCAAAACACAATTTACTCTCAAACAAAACATAGCTGTGAACTTAACACCTTAACAAAAGAAAGATGGAATTTCACTGGGAATTTCATGGGAATGTCTGTAGAATGGGGCTCAGGAAACTTTGTCATTTTTAGTTTACTTTGTATGTTTTACAAATGCTCTTATAAGAGCTTACGACACTTCCTCATTTGAACTGAACTGATTTGGAGAGTAATTACCAAGGGAAGCAATTGGAGTGAAAATGGGGGCAAGAGGAAAGGATTAAAATGTGTCCCACAGTGACAATCTGCCAGTGTAATCTCTATATTACCATTTGCTCTAAATGGTCCTTTCTGGGAGAAGAAACCCTGAGTCACATCATTTTAACACAAAGAACATATGCAATTTATTGTGTGTTTGCTTGGGAAACACCATTAGTCCCGAAAAAAATTATTTGATGTCTAAGGGTGTGTTATGCAGCTACATTTTCCACTAGGAGTAAAAGTGAAAATACAAATAAAAAAACAAACAGACGACACAAAGACACACTGGATTTATTGCAAGTTTCAACATTCTAAATGTCACATGTCTGTAGGAGAGAAATGAAAGCATGAACTCAGTGTTGGAACATATAAAAAAGAAGTGAGAAAAAGAACAAATGATACAGAAGAGGAAATAAACAATTCGTATACAGTCTCATTTGCGGAAAATGTCCATCAGTGTAAAAACAAAGTAAATTAACAGCAGTGGCAGTAGACTGGCAATAGTACAATAAATGGTCATTGTCCAAGATGTTGAGAAATACAAAAACTGTGTAGTAGAGACACTAGTTATACTCTATACAGAGGTAGAGTTCAGTGCACAAGGCTATGACACATAGCTAGCCAAAGGCCTAAAGTCTTTTCTGTTGGATTATTACCCTTATTATACTCACCATAGTTGAAAACATGGCATCAGTCTTTACATCTGGGTCTTGATAACACCAAGTAGGGCTTGGTACAATTAATAAAATTTCTGGTAATAGTTTTAATTCAAAAGCAGAACTCCAGACAGATGACTTTGGACTTTTATATTTCACCCATTCAAACTTCACACCTCTCTTTCCACGTCAGAGAAACTTGTTTAGCACGATGTACCTTCATTTGGCACACTTCAGTCCCATCTCAAACTCCCAAATCAAAGTCACTGTCCTGTAGGAACTACTAGTTCTCTAGTAATTTGACAAACAATTTAACTTACGGTAATTCAGATTTATGGATTAGGCCAATCAAAGGCTCAAAATCTAAAAGCTTAGAAAAATATGTTATCAATTTGCTGTCGAACCATCTTTTTTAAATGAATTTGGCAAAACAATAGTTGATATAGTTTTTTTCAGCCTACTGTCCATTCAGTTGAGTGGAAGATCATTGTAGCTTAGATAATCATGAGGAAAATAACCACTACAGTAAAGTTTTTATATGTAAGGCATTGCCTCACTATTCAGTGATCAAAACTAAAACAACTTTGACCAGTTTGAGAAATTGCACTCTGAACAGTTTGTATGTTCCCATTTATGATTTGAAAGAAAAAGTTTTAAATGAGAAATTGCCTTTATAAAAGCTTTCACATTTATC